TCAGTGCACTATGGGCAGATAGTATGCCTGGAATAATGTCAATCCCTTTGCATTTACTTAGGCATGTTCTATGGCTAATATATGGTCTATTTTAGAGAATGTTTCATGTAAAGGCTGTTCCAGGCTACTAGACCCACCTGTCTCATCAAAAGAATATGTATTCTGATTTTGTTGGGTGGGACATTCTATAAACATCTAGGAAGTTCATTTGTTCACAGGTTTGTTATTTTTTGCTGTCTCTTTCTTTGTGACAACGGGTTACTAATTCCCCATTGCAACTGTGTTATTGAATATTTGATTTTTTCATGTCTATTAGTGTTTTGTATAATTGAGTGCTCCTGTATTCAGTGCATATTTATTTATGAATTTTATGTCTTCCTCCTGAGTTTTTCCTCTAGCAAGTCTGTGGTGACTTTCCTATCTCTTTTGATCATTTTTGGTTTGAGGTTTACATTGTCTGCAAACAGAATAGCCACTCCTGCTTTTATGTGGGTTTCTGTCCCATGGAATATTGTTTTCCATCCTTTGACTCTCAGTCTATGAGTTTTCTTTCTAGTTACATGTGTTTCTTATGTACAACAGATTGTTGGATCCTTGTTCTTGATGCATTCTGCCATCTATTTCTTTTAATTGGTGAATAGAGGCCTTTTATACTGATCTTTATAACTAATATCTACTGATTTAACTTTCTCATGTTATTTTCCTGTTATTGGTTCTCTACTTTTCCCCTTGTTTAAGTGCTTGACCATTCTGGTGGTTTCTTGTTCTAGAAACTATGGTTATTTTGAGCTCTCGCTTGAGTATGTCTTTCAGTACTCTTCCTGCAGTTGGTTGGGTGGACATGAATTTATTCAGCTTTTCTTTGTTATGGAAGTATCTTATTTCTCTACTAATTTTCAAAGAAAGTTCTGCAGGGTACGTAAATCTGGATTGAAAATTGTTTTCTTTCAGGGCTTGAAGCACTTCACTCCAAGCTTGTCTTGACTTGGGGGTTAGTGTTGAGAAGTCTGCTGTGATTTTAATGAGTTTTCCTTTATAGGTAAGTTATGGATTTTCTCTAGGAGCTTTTAGCATTCTGTTTTTATGCTGAATTTCTGCAATCTGTATTATTATATGTCTGGGTGTAGATTTATTTTGATTATAGCTGGTTGGTGTTCTATATGCTTCAGTTATTTGTATTTCAGATTCTTTCCCCATTCTTGGGAAATTTTCTGCTATTATTTCTGTGAATATTTTTATGTCATTTGCATTGACTCCTACATTTTTATTGATACCTAGCAATCTTACATTGTTTTCTTTGCATCATCCTGAAAATGTTGAATTGTTAATTCATTGTCCCTTGTTATTTTTGAGTTCTTTCCTTTCATGATCACTAGCTGTGATCCTGTCTTCAAAATCTAGTCTATCTTCAGTTTTGTTCAAGTGCTTTTGCCAGCTTGCAATGGTATTGTTAAGTTCCTGGATATCTCTCTGAATTTCTTTCATGTATTCTATTTTTTCTATATTATTCATTCAAGGTTTCCATCATTGTCCCACGCTCCTGTAATTTTTTATCTATGTCTTCTTTAGCTAGGCTGAGCAACTCCTTTATTAACATTTCATTTCTTTCTTTACCTGAGAGATTGTTTCTAATCTGATTTCCTCTATAGTACCATAGATGTTTATTTTACTTGCTATCTTTTCAGAAATTTCAAGCATATGGCTTCCAGTGTCCTCTATTTTGATGTCTCCTATACTTGTTCCTGATGGACTGGATGTTACAGATTGCATTTTGATTTTTTTTTTTTTTTGTCATTTGCACCTCTTGAATTATTTTGGTCTTTTCAATCCTGCTAGTCTTAACTATCCATCATGTCCACCTTAGGGTCCTACTGTATGGTTGATGTTTGCCCAGCTGCCGGGCCCTACAATTTAGAGGAGGGATGAGCCACTGAATTCCTCCTGCAGGGCCTGTTAGGTGAGTCCTATATTCTTCTCAGGGTGATTATCCTAAGAGTATTGATGTGAGCCTATCCTTAGCTCTTTTGTTACTGTAGCTTCAGGCTGTTCCAGGATGTTAGCCCACCTGTCTATAGTGTGCACCTCATCTGGGACCATACTGTGTCACTGGGGATTTTACAGGCCATTTTGGGGTCCTCTGAGTATGGAAAGGCCTTGCAGGCCTCTCACCAACCCACCCAGGGTTATTTGTATGGAAGAAGGGCTCACCTGCATTCTTGCAGGTTAGCCATGGCCCTCCAGGTGGGAGGAGGGTTTAGTGAGGCTCTTGTTGACCCAGTGAAGTTCTCTACTTGAGGAAGACTCACCATTTTGTCACTGAGCTATGGAGGTCCTCTGTGTGTATGTGTGTGTGTGTGTGGGGGGGGGGAGTTGCTGAGGCTTCCACAGACTCTATGTGGTGGTAGGAGTGATTGATGGTCTGTGGGCTGCTTAAGTCTTTCACATGCAGGGGAAAGGTAGCTGAGGCTTTCTTGGCTGCTGAGGTTGTCTGGGTGTGGGGGAAGGGTGGCTGATGATCTTATCATCCATTGAGGCTTCCGTTGGCTGCTGAAATCATCTGGGTGCAGAGGAAGGGCAACCAATGATCTTGTTGGCTACTGAGTTCTTTTGGGTGTAGGCAAGTGGGGACCTGGAAGTCTCCTCCACTGCTGAGGTCATCTGGGTGTGCTGGAAGGGCAGCTGACAACCCTATTGGCTGCTGAGGTTTTCTGAGTGCAGGAGCGGGCTAGGCTCCCTGTGGGCTACTGAGGTTATTCTGCCATTGACTTTTGAGTGTTTGCTTTGTATCCCGCTATACTACTGAATTTGGATATTAAAGCTTCAAGTATTTTGGTGCAGTTTTTGAGGTTTGATATGTAGAGTATCATGTCATACAAATAACACATGATTTAACTGTTTCCTTTTTTGTTTTTATTCCTTTTTTTTTCTCTCTTGTCTAATTGCTCTGGCTAGTGTTTCCAGAACTATAATGAATAGGAGTAGTGATAATGGGCATCCTTGCCATGATCTTTATTTTAGAGGGAAAGTTTCTGGTTTTGACCATTACATATGATATTAATGTTGGTTTGTCATAGATAGCTTTTATAAAATTGAGGTAAAGACTGTTCCACTTTTCTGTAGGGCTTTTTTTCCCAATCATGAATGGGTGTTGGACTTTGTCAAATGCTTTTTCTGCATCTACTGAGATGATCATATGATTTTTGTCTTTGGTTCTGTTAATAAGGTGTATTACATTTATTGATTTGCATATGCTGAACTTTCCCTGCATCCCTGGGATGAATTCTACTTGGTCATGATGTATAATCTTCTTGATGATTTGTTGCATTCTGTTTGCCAGCACCTTATTAAGGATTTTTGCATCAATGTTCATTAGGGAAATTGACCTGTAGTTTTCTTTTTTGGTTGGTTCTTCTCTGGTTTTGGAATTAAGGTAATACTTGCTTCTAGCAATGCCTTTGCAAGTATTGCTTCCTTTTCAAGTTTTTTAGAGTTTCAGTATTAGTGACATTAGTTCTTCTCTAAATTTGTTATAGCATTCAACAGTGGATCTGTCAGGACCTGGACTTTCCTTTGCTGGTAAATATTTAATTATGTTTTCAATTTCATTGGCTGATACTGGTTTATTTTGAGTTTTCATATCATCTTTAGTTTTGGCAATTCAGTTGTATTTGGGAATCTGTTTCTTTTGTGTTCCTATAGTAGGTATTGATGATTTCTGTGGAATCTTCTGTATCTCCTCCCTTTTGTCCCTAATCACTTGATTTTGTGTATTTTCTTTCTTTTTTTATGAGGTTGGCTAATGATTTATCAATTTTTATTGTTTTGAAGAACCAATCTTTTGATTCATTGACTCTTTATATTGTTTTGTTAGGCTCTGTTGCATTAATTTCTGCTCTTATCTTTATAATTTCCTCCTTCATGTGAGCTTTTAGTTTGTTCTTCTTGTTCCAGAAATTTGAGGTTCAACATTAGGTGGTTTATTTGAGCTCATTCTGTTTTCCTGATGTGTGAGTTCGTCCCTATAAATTTCCCTCATAGGATTGCTTTCATTGCATCCCATAATTTTGGTATGTTGTATCGGCATTATCGTTTAATTGTATATACTTTTTAATTTCCTCTTTAATTTCCTCTGTGACTCATTGATTGTTCAGAAGGGTGTTGTTTAATTTTCCCTGTTCATGTAGTTTATGTGGTTTCCTTTGTCATTGATTTCCAGTTTCATTTTGCTATGGTTAGTATGTATGGGGTGACTTCAGTTCCTCTATATTTACTTAAACATGTTGTTAGCTAATATATGATCTATTTTGGAGAAAATACCCTGTGGAGCTGAGAATGTGTACTTTGATGTTTTGGCGTGGAGCACTCTGTAAATATCTACCAAGTCCACTTGTTCACAGACTTGGTTTAATTTTAATGTTCCTTTGTTGATTTGTCTAGTTATCTTTCCAATTGTGAGAGTGGGGTGTTAAGCTTTCCCACTAAAATTGTACCTTTATTTGGTTTTTCATGTCAGTATTTGTTTCATGTAGTTGATTGAGCCTGTTTTTGGTGCATAAATATTTATGATTGTTATCTCTTCTTCTTTGAATTTTCCCTTAACAATTATGCAGTGATTTTCCTTGTATCTTTTGATCAGTTTTGGAGGCAGGGCAGAGCAGACTCCCACTCTACTGCACTCTATTGTCCTGCACAGCTAGCCCCAGGACAATAGAGGAACGGCAGAGCACAGAATCACACTGTATTCTGTGCCACTGACCTGGGCCAATAGAGGAAGGGGAAAACTAAGTCTTAATTTGGGATTTTATATTACACATTGCATTTGGCAAATGTGTTGAACACATTCTCAGAGGCACATGAAGTCACAGAATGATTTGGTGATAGGAGAAAGGAAACAGGGTGAGGAAAGAGGGAACAGTTTCTGATCTGATTGTCCAACCCAGTCCCAAGAATAACAACTAAATTTAAGGAATAAAAGTAGTATGTTTAAGTAATAAGTCATATGAAGAGAGCAAACCCATAATTGTGTTTAATATTCACAAAACAATCATACAGACACAGTGACATTACATGTAGATAATTGTTAAAACACTTTGGGTATTTCATTTTTAAAGTCAAGTTCCACAGGCATATTCTGTTGAATGTTCTTTTCATCTTCTTGAAAATTATATGCAATGGACTTTAAGTTGTTTTAATGTTGTTTTAGCACTTTCTGTATATATATATATATATATATATATATATATATATCATAAAAATGTCAAGAATGTTGACTGTTCAGAAAGTTGCATTTCACTTAGCAGAAAAAATAAAATGTCCCATTTCTCCCTAGGGAAAAAAATAACATTTTCTAATTGTGCAAACACTTGATGAGTGTCATCTGACTCCATATTTTGACAGCCGCCTTGCATTTATTATTGGAGAATCTCTTTATACAGCATGTTCCTGGTTTTATTCCCTACTTGAGTTATTAAAATTATTTTAGATTACTTAAATCTAAGAAGTTTTTAAAAAAACAAGCCCCTCTTTAAGAAAAAAATAAAAGCCTTAAAAAAGGAATAGAAATAAATATTTTATATTATCAGCTCTTTGTTTTTAGAATCAGTTCTATATAGCATGGTGATGTGAAAATTCCCATTGTGACTGGCACTGAGTAGGCACTCAGGAATTGTCTCAAAATGATTGTGGCATGGATTCACTAGGGACTCTGGCAAAGCAGGGCAACAGGTACAAGAGGTACACTAGGCACATCCTCTTTAAACAGGCAGAGAAACTAAGGCTCCAAAAATCTGGTATGTATTTTATATTGTGCTCTGTATTTTCTTGAGAGCTCTAATCCAAGTTAGGTCATTTTAGAATTACTACCTACCAGTATTATGTGTGAATCAGGAGATGGTAAAAGTAATGATGTGTTTAATACATGGTTATGAAGTCACTTCTAGAATGTTCTACATACAGTGAGTCAGTCTTTGTTGCTAAAGGAAATTTAAAACCTAATGATGAAAATGTTCAGGTATTTGGACAATGATGGAAAGTCTATTCTTTTAAGGACAAAAAAAGCCACTGTTAATTTTTCAACCAAAAAAAGCTGTATCTTATATAGGAAAAAAACCTCATATACTATTGGTAGCATAAATTGGTCCTATGTTTATGGAGGGGAATATATGACTATCGATCAAAATTAAAATGAACACCTTTGTAGTGATTAACTTTAATGAACTGATTCACATTACAGATATACTGGCACTGGAGTACAGAAATATCTAAGGAAATGAACTTGATAAATATGTAATGTTACCTGCAACACTGTTAAGATGAAAATTTAAAACAGTGTAAGTGCTCAACAATAAACTATTGACCACACAAATTATGAGATATCTGGGTAGTGATAATTTATGTGGACATTCAAAATATGACATCAGCATGATATGAAAGGTGACCAAGATACACTAAGTCGAAGGCAAGCTGCTTTCCTTTCAGTAAAAATATTCACCAAAGTTTTGATAGCAACCTCTGGAAAGATGGATGTACCACTTATTTCACTCCTTTACATAGTACTTGATTTTAAATGAAAATATATTTCAAAACTTAAAAAGTAACCATTAATTCTGGCTATCAAAGAGGTCTGTTTCATTCAACAGTTAACCAGAGCCAGGAATTGGTTAACTGTTGGCTTACTTTGCCAGAGTGCCTAATGAATCCATGCCATATCCTTGGTGCTCGGGGAATATTTTGCAGAAGTGCACTAGTAAGGACACCTTATCCTGGTCACTCCAGGAAAGGGAGGTGGAGAGACATAATAATGTTCCCATCTACTCAACATTGGAGTCAGTGGGTCAGTGGAGGAGAGCTTACGATGACCTCTTCACAGTATTAATTTATGATATAGAAAGACTGGCTACCTAAATATCAACTCACAAAACAGTAACTTGGGGCTTCTATTAGCATTGGTAAACCATTCTTCCTGAGTCCTTGCTGTAAGATTTTTTGAGCATCTGTCTTGTAAAGCACTTATCTGTTGGCTTGGGGGTCAGAGGTGCATGAAGAAGAGGATCTCTCCTAGAGCACTCAGCTGGCCCGGCTGATTCAGACAGTGCATGTCATCAGCCACACTCATGTAAAGAGCTTGGGTGGAGTGAAATTGTTTGGGATGGTGCTTCCATGTTCTCCTGGGGAATTCTTTCCTGATGAGTTATAGGTCCTAGCAAGTTCCCGATGGCACTGACCTACAATCTGACCTTACAGAGCTACCAAATGTAAGTAGCTCTGCTTAGTGGTTTAAAGAAAGGGCACTAGCAGGAATCAAAGATTTAGAACCCCAGTTTGTACACCAATATGTTGTGTGACTATTGTGTAAAGACTGTCATGTCTCTGTTAACCTCAACTGTTTCTTTTCAAAAAGGGGACACTTACAGTTTCTGCCATATATTTAAGAAGATGAAGAAATAATTTAGGCAAACTGCCTTATCACAGTGTATGGCAAAAATGTTCGATAAATATCATTATGACTTTTATAGGACTTTTAGGTATTTGAAATAGGCAGGGAGGAGGTACAGGGAGCAGTGAAGACATTAAGTGGACTGCATGCCTCGGTGCTTTGAGCTCAATGACTTGTTTCCTCAAGAGAGGCAAAGTAGAAAACACTCCAGGTAGTGGATGGAATTTCATGAATTTGGAAACAAACAAACAAACAAAACGTTGCACCTCCACAATTACAGTGTGGATTTACAAAAACAACTCTGCATATTGGAGAGTCATTACCTCTGGGGGCTGAAATACAACATCTCCCCTGGGGGCTATTCTCCAAACTGATCTCCCTGAAACTTCCTAATATCCAAAACAGGTGTCAGGAGAAGCATAGGTCTTCTCCAGCCAGTCTCCAATTGTTCTCAGTGCTTGTGATTTGACTTCATAATATTTCTCAGGACAGGTATCATAAAATCCTGAATGGACTCAGGGAGGTTATGATTGAATACAGTCTCTGCAGATACTCACATACATATCTTATGTGTCAGAGGCACATAAGTGTAGAGTAGGAGACTTGGGATCTAGATCTAGTTAACCTTGCCCCAGCCAATAACTCACTGTATGAACGCTCAGTGTCTTGGCTTACTCCTCGCTACAGTGGTTAATAATGATATTTCTCATACTCTATTCTTAGGAGCTCTGGGGTCTGCACAGTAGCACCTGGGGGATGCTTTTCCTGGGCTCCTGTCTTCCATTTTAGTACAGGTAGAACAGTAATATTTTTAGATAACTCTTTTCAACACCACCTCTCTCTGGGTTACAGCATCTTGTCCTGTAGGGAAACACAAACTACTACAAGAAAGCTATTATAAAGCAATGTCCTACCTGGAAAGTGTCAGGGATGGAAAGGGGAGAGGGCGATAGGAAGGAAATAATGGGGGTGTTCAGGGGCTCTGTTTGACTGCCAGGTGCCTTCTGGGTCTCTGTGGAATGCACAGCTGTGGAGCCAGCTGTGTCAACAGAACCACAGTGCCCTGTGTGTTGGGCTGTGGGCTCCCTCTGCGGGGACAGCAGGGTGCATGGGAAAGAGACTGGGTATGGAATGAGAAGGCAGGTGTGAGTCTCAACTCTGATACAGGAAGCTTTAGTTCTCTGAGTTGCTAGTTCCCTAACAGAAAAAAACAATAACATCATCTACTAGATGATCCTGATAAGCATGTCATGTGATTTAAATAAGATAAGGTTTGAGAAGCATTTTGTTAGAAAATCCCATAAAGATGCAAAGCATATTCAGTAACCCATGAGACAGATGTCTAAATGTTTAAATTCTAAAAGCTTGTTAAGATCACTTTCCTCAGATATATATAAAAGGGTAGTGAATTTCCAAATAAATGAAGTGTTTTACTATGTTCACATGTTTCAATATCAACCCTAGTTATAAAACTATCTTATCTGATATAAAATAATAAGCTAGCTACAACATTACAAACATCTAATTGTATATAAAAGTATTTATATGATATGATCTATGTGTAATCTGAAAAACTATGACTAAATTATTCTTAAAGAACTACCGTAGTGGTAACTAACCTTTAGTTGTATACAGTAATATAAAAAAGTCTTACAAAGACATTCTCAATCCCATCTCCATGTCACTCTCCAGCAAGTAGTGCATGTTTCTGTCCTCCCTGAGACAGCTGGGTCTCAAGGTTGGATGTGTCGTGTCTCTGCTTCTGACCGAGAACCATCAACTCTTCTGGTCAGAAAGTTCTCTAGGGCAGTCCTCTTGGTTCTCCTCCGAGCAAGACAGGTTCAGGATGTTCATCACGGGATGCACCCAGGATGTAGTCTGTGTCACATGGCTTAAGAAGAACAAAGATGCCAATTAGAACCCGAAAGGTTGCCTTTCCACCCATCCACGCAAGTGCCAATCCTGGTGACACCGACTCTGCCTACCATGCTTAGAACAGGATCTAGTAGTACTGATAAGTCTTAGATGTGTTTTAGGCCTCAAAGAAGTCCATTCTCTTCTTTCTCCTTTGATAACAATGAACGCAGGTGAATGCACTATTTTTAATTTCTCTTTTTTCCTTACCTGATACTGTCAGCCATTAAGTCCGGTGATTGTTGAGGGGTAACACTTCTGGAATCTGTTCTCACTTTGCCTTTCCCAAGACAATACCTGAGTCACTGGAGTGGCTTCTCTCCCTACCTCAGTTCTATGCCTTTTCTAATTAATTATTAATTCTAACCTAGAGATCTTACTAAATGACAAGTCACATGCTGTCACTTACCTGTTAAAGGTCCAGTTCCAGCCACGACTTCTGGATCAGGTACATATGCTACAGTACCAAATATCTTGTTTTTATAACTTGTTTCAATAATGCTTTCTTTTCTGGCACAATCCTCCTTCCTGAGGAGTTAACGCATCCTAATTCTAAAGAACCAGATCTCCCTCAAGATTCTTCCAATCTGTGCCCATGACCTTGTCTCTTATTGTAGTATATTCTTTTTGCCTGCTTATTTTTAAGAATTTTATTTTTTACTATAGATGAAGGTCCTTCTGGTCAGGAATTATGTTTCTTGTTTCCGAGTTTATGATGCCTGACATGTTCTCAGAATAAATGATGGGTCCTGAAAAGCATTTGAAGGACACAACCAGAGATAAGGAAGGAGGTCCAACAGATGCTGTGCATGTCTAGGGGACAATAAAACAACATTGCAAAGCCACGCATCTGCCTGGTGGATGTTGATTTTCAGAGCTTCTTTTACTCTCAGACCCACATCTGGATGAATCTTCCGTATTAACCACCATCTGCACATCTCCCCAGAGTTGGGTCAACACCTCTGTATTTAGGATAGAGCTTTGTGTCTTCTCCTTTGATATTCTTTCTAGCCCCAGTTTACCCTACTGGTCTCCCACACAAAGATCAGTGTAACTATTCTCTTGCCCACAAAACTGTATCTCAGAACTTTAAACTGGCACCATGTCTTAAATCAATTGTACTCAAAGGCCAGCACCAAAGAAAATCAAATGAGGTTGTGGAGCTGAACTTATCTGCTATATTACAGAGCAACATTTTCCAAAGTGAGGTCCAAGCATTTTTAATAATAAACACTTTGTGCAGAACAGAAATCTAGAGTCAAATGACCTTCAGAGTCACTAGGTTAAATAGAACAAAATAGGGGTTTTTTTTTTTTTTTTTTTTTGGACACTGTAGAATTTCCCAGAACCTTTAGTATGCTAATGTGCTCTATGAATCTCCAGAAGAATGCAGTATTACTCAAAATAACATGCCTCTGTTAGCACCTATGGGGCTAGAGTTCCATATAGAAGTTAGCACAAAAATTTACTCACTCATGTTTGGTGAGATGGCATATATCTGTAATCCTAGCACTCTGGGAGGCTGAGGCAGGAGGAGCACAGCAAGTTCAAGCTCATCCTGGGCAGTTTAGTGACTCAGTGAGACCTTGTACCAAAATATAAAAATAAAAGCAAGGCCTGGGGATGTAGCTCAGTGAGAAGGCTCTGAGTTCAATTCTCAGCACCAGAAGATTTTTTAAAAAATGTACTCACTTTACTGGCTATTGATGAGAGTAAGTGAAAAATGTCAGAATTCGTGAAAATAGACAGTTCTATTGCCATTACTGATTTGCTTTGTTTTTAATTCTAAACTGTAACATTTGCTTAGATCCCTCTAAACAAATCATTCAGTTTTCTGTGTCTTTCCACAGAGGAAGATTACTGACACCTAGTAAAGGAGTTCAAGTTGTTTACCAACAAAAGTGCAGATAACAGGGACCATACATCTTCATGGTTTCGAAAGATCAGAATGTGATAAGTGGAACAAAGGATCATTATTCTCCTGACAATGATCCATATTACCATTCTCTTTTCAGAATGGTTTAAAGGAATTTTTTATTATGCAGGGTAAACTTACTAATGTGTTTGAATCAGCACAGGCTAATTTCATTTCAAGGCCTTCATAAGGCTGGAAAGCTGCCTACACGGAGAGTGGTCTTAGAGAAATACCAAGGAGTCTGACAGGAGAGGGCTGCGAGGTCCCTGCAAGGTGAGATGAGGACACCTCATCCCGTGCAAAGTGTGTGTTTGGTAGGGAAAAGCTTGGTGAGACTGCTCGGCTTAATTTAAAATCTCCGTGCCATATCTTTAATGTTTATCACACATCTGCAATATGTTGGTCTGAAGAAGAGACTGTAATTTCAGTTATTTTAAATCCTCTCTCCCCTATCATGTTCCTTCACTGAGAAAGAGAAGGAAGTAAACCAGGAACAGTTATCAGGTTCACTTTTTCTGTTTGACATTTAACAAATAATATTTACTGACTGAAAATTCTAACGGCCTATGTATGAACAGTCCAGTAAATTGATGATTTAAAACAATGAATAGCAAAATGTGTAAGAAAAAAAACATAATTATAGAACTTGTACAATGAATTTACAAAGAACAACCAGAAAGTCATCCTTGCCAGGTCTTGTTCCGAACACAACCAAAATACCACAAAATGTGAGTCATCTTACATTTACTACATATTTCTCTGTATGTCCTTTAACCATACACACACACATATACACACACGTACACACTCATGCACACACACGTACACACTCATGCACACACACACACACACACACACACACACACACACACACACAGGTCTAAGCATCAAACCTAAAATTACAGCAGCCACTCACTAGAAAAATGAAACTGAAGCAACAGAGAGATATTTTCTGTGGCTTAAGAATACATTTCACACTTGAGTCTTCAGCAAAAACATCCAGCATCAATGAGCAAGAGCTACTGAACATCAGATAGTGCCTGGCAAGCAGTAGCTGTTCAATAAATGATCACAGCTAGCTTTACTCCTAAGTAGGGCTTTCTGATTATTTTAAGAAAAATTTGACATTCTGCCTATGATGTCGGAATGGGGTCAATTGTGAGTCTACCATTCAGTTTTATGTCTTGGTGAACACTATGGCTAAAGAGCTTTGGCATAATCAGCACGATGAGATAATCCCAGATTTACTGGCTTGAAGAACATTCTCGTATTAGAAATATTTCCTCTCTGATTTGTGTGCTTGGTAATTCTGCTGAGAAGGGAGAATAAATCAGTTCTGTTGACTCTGTTTAATTAATAAAGATTCCACGGTTGCTAAAGGGAGATGTTGCTGGGTTGAATGAAAAATTTAGAGGTCTGGAAAATAAATGAAGCTGACTATGAAACATGAAAATCATCCATTCGAACACGCAGTACCTCTGGCAAATGTCCCTGCAGAGACAGGGCATTTGACCTGATTTGGAGAGCAATCAACAGCAGTTTGGATATGTTTGAAAATCGGAAAAGCTTAATACTATTTGTCTCTGACTGGTTGCCAAATCTGTTGTTGGAAAACAGTATTATTCAATCTGGGGAGATGAGCGTATTGTGTGTTTTTAAAAATAATATTAGTAAATTGAAAGACATATTTTAGAGCTTATGAAAAAACTTAAGAGAACAGGTTTTATTTTATTGGCAAAGAAATGTAAGTGAATTTTAAAAATCCCATTACAATTACTCTCCTTATGTTTCTTACCTCCTAGCTAGAGGAGCAAAACACTTTCCTTCACAAGAGAAAGCAAAATGCTTTCTTTCAAAATAAAAAAATTTAGGACAGCCTGTTAAGCAAAAAGTGGCTTAAAGACAAAAGGTACACTAGTTTTGCAGAAATTCATTCTTATAACAGTCTTAGATGATGAAAGGGGTTCTTTTGTTGATCTTCCATTGTGGATGGTATTATTTATATATCACTGAGTTTAACAAGAGTTGCATGTACTATTTTGTTATGCTTAAGATAAAGCTAGAAAGAATGAGCCAAAGTTAATAACTTCTAATGTCAGGTTTTTTTTTTTTTTTTTTTTTGCTGTGGGGAGAATAATTTGATGTATATAATATTAACATACATCAGGGAACAAAGATAAGTAAATACATTCTAGTACATTTGTTTCAGTCACCAGTAACTTTGAATTGCTGTGTGATTTTATGACTGGTTTTAAATAGAAATGAGCACAAAAGAGTTGAAAAGTAATCCATATTTTTAAATCAACAAATTAGAAAGTAAAAAACACAAAATGAACCATGTCAATAAAATTATTTAAAAAGTGACCAAACTATGACACACAGGCACCATGGATTCTTCTCACAGCACTGGTTATGAGAACACATACAGATGACTAATATAAAGTATCCATGTCAAAAACATACAAGAAAAAATTATAGACATTTTCTTACTACTGATATATAGGAGTTTTCTCTTACATAATTTTAGAAATATGGCCCCAAATCAAAACAATTAATGACCTTTGTAAATATCACAGAAAATTTTGAGTATTTTCTAATGACACCTTGGAAATCCAATAAAGCTTTGATTAAACATTATCAGGATCTCATTTAAATCTTTACAGTGTAGAGGACAAATTTTATTTTTATTACACTTATGGAGTTTTCTATAAAAATATACTGGATGGCTTTCAAAATCTTAAAATTGTATTAATTAAAAATCTCTAAGTCTCAAACATCAAATTTTAACAATATAGTTATAAATGTATGGTATGTAATATTGGAAAAACTGAAGTCCCAACACTTGTAAAAGATGAACACTGTGAAGTTCTTGTGAAAAATGTAGAAAATATTAATTATTTTTTCAGATAACAAAGCACAGATCCAAACTGCTGTTGATTATTTTATAGAGCTGAAACATCCCAGGTCCAGAACTGATAAAATAATTTTTCAAAAAAAGAAGAAACAGCTCTATAATCAGAGAGTGTGTAAGTGGGTAGTTCTTAAAAATTGATCTTGTTTTT